TGTCCCGCCGATGACCGCCTGGCATTCAGGGCACTTGCTCCTCTCCATGGCCCCGCCACAGTCCCCAATCACATAGATATGCCCGTTTTTGCACTTGAACCAGTGTCCACGGGGACAGCCAATAGCACTGACAATCTGCACCCTCTCTGCTTCAGAGATCCCCAGCCCCGAAACAGGCAAGGCATGGCAGAGCCTCTCCAGGCTAGCCTTCACTGCAGCCTCATCCTCCTCTGTGAATTTCTTTGTCCCTTCTAGGATCTCACGGACACTGGTGATCTCTGCTGCAAGCGCTGGGGTGATCATCCCACTTGCACCTTTGCACCTTGCCAAGAGGCTCAGCAAATAGGTCAGTCGCTGGATCTCAGACTGCAGGTCAGAGAGCTCCTGGCCTGTGAAACTGAGGCGCGGCTTTTCCAACCACTCCTGGATTTCATCCAGGCGCTTCCGCAGCCCTTTCCTCTCACTCGCATCAATTTTGCTCATGGAATTGGTTAGGTCCGCTACACGTTGGTAGAAGTTAAGCTCATTCTCAATTAGTCCAATAGTCTTCGTGGAGAGATCAGCAGCTTTTAGTTTATCCTCTAGCATTAGGTACTTAAGGGGTACATTCCTCTGCAGGACACTGTTCCCTGTCAGCGCAGCCTGCAGTCTTTGTCTGCTAGACTCAATTTCCTGTGCTGGGCCTTGGATTTTCTCTTTCACCTTTTCTATCTCATCTAGCTGCCTTTTCACTATGGTGCCATATCTCAAATTCTTTCTGATAGGTGTCTGACAGATAGGGCATACCTTCAGCTTGATAACACCATCATCTTCATCCATATAATGGTCAAGGCCTTGGGACTCAAAAATGTGGCCACAGTCTTCAAGCTGCACAAATCGAGCATCTGGGTCCTCCTCAAAGCCAAAAAAGATCTGGGTGAGTTCCTCATGGTCGCAAACAAGGCACTTCTTCGGGCAGGGCTCTCCACACAATCCAATACAAGGATGACCACAGCACAGTAGCTTAGCACATGGTACATTGCAGCGAGGCCTGTTGCAGGGTTCAGAGCAAAGATTAGTACACTGGTAGTGGCGGCACCGCCACTCACATGGCTCGGCACATGGAAAACAGCGCTCTCCACATTTCTTTTTACACCTACTATGGATACAGTGGTTCTGACATTCCAGCTGACAGGGAGGGCATTCTGTAGTGCAAGGCTGCTGACACTTGTGGGAGCAGACCAAGAAGCGCTTGCACGGGCTGTTACATGGCTTATGAAATCTTCCTTCAAAGC